AGAGAAAGAGAGAAAGTACTCCTCAACAGGGCATGGTCATGCCCTAATTGTTTTCCCTCCATTTCTCCATCCTGTCAGGATTTGGGATATGTACTTATGCACACACACCCAATATGTTTCCCAAGTTTCCAAGACTAGGATTCAAACTGAGGTCAGCCATCTGGGATCTAGCCCACTATTCCTAGGACTTAACTGCTATATGAAGGGGCCAGTCCAAAGGTGTAATCACAAAAATGTGATTATCCTTTGTCCAAGCAGGACAGAAGTAAAATAAAACTCTGCATAAAGGATGATCCACCAATGATTTTTTAAAATTAGTGTAAACTCTTTTCTAATTTTAAGAGTTGGAATAAATTCCTGTTGTATTGTAAAAGAAACTTGTAAATACCCAGGGAAACAGAAACAAATATTAAACAATAGGAAAAACATTCCCTCATTAGAAACATAATATGTATGAATTTTATATATTTAATCTTTTTTATATACAATAACTATTTTTAACTAACAATGTATATGAAATAAGGATTTTAATTTTTTAAAAGATTTTGCCTTTAGGACTCATGTGTTCACAGGAGAGACAGAGAAAAACAGTGAGAGGGAAAGTGAGAAATCACCCCTGGCGGGATAGCAACACCACAATCCCTTCTCCTCTATTCTCCTTTCAGGATTTTGGACATGCACACACCATGTGAGTTTCAAGCTGCTGGATACAGGACTTGACTTGTCAAAATACATGAAAATTAATTTTTTTCTACTATATTGCTTGGAATTTTATCTAGACACATTGAGTAGACAGAAACAGGAAGATATGCAAATTACTCAAACAAGATCAGGTTAATGGAGAGATCTGGCAACTTTAATCTTCTATGTTAAACAGGGCTTGATGTCTAGTTTCGTTTTATTTTCCCCACATCTATGTAGGCAATTAGCTTCCAACACCTCACATCAAACACATGTTTCTTTTAAGGTGTATGAAAATTCTGTTGAGAAATATTCAGATTATAACCATGCTCAACATAAACAAATAAAGGGGGAAAAAAAGTTCAGAAAGTGTTGATAGTATTTTTGATGTTTTCTTGTGAAGAAAAACAGCATGAAATACAGGTTGAGTAGTCACTCATGCCTGACTTTCTGTTTCAGATTTTCTAAAGTTAGATCTATCACTTCTACACCTCTGAGTGAGTCTATCATAATTTATCCTACTGTCATATTGAAGAGTTAACGGATGGAAAAGTGTTGAGCTGCATTGTGAAATCTTGGTTCTTTGGGTCCAGATCACTAAAATTAGAGATCTGTTTCTAGACGCAAAATGAAACTGCAACCACGAATGAAGTAGATAGAAAAGAAAGTTTAATAGAAAGAAAGGAAAGGAAAGAAAGAAAGTACACCCGAAAAGGTTGTTGGGCGGGCAGATTGCCAAGTGGCAACCGCGCTTGATACTGGTTAACAGTTATTCTTATTAATAGAGGTCATGAATATTCATCAGTGGGCGGCCCCCTTACGCTGCCTATGTTATTCCTTTAAATTTGAATCCACACCTTCTTCCTGCACCTGTGCGCCTTCCTCACAGGCAAAGTGAGGAATTTGGTCACCTAATTACGTATGCCCAGTGCGAGTCAGGTTGTCTCAATTAGATCGCCCAATTAGTCTATCTTATCAATGACCAAATGCTTGCTCGGGTCCTTTTGACAAAACAAAATCTACGAACTATCCCTGTATGCTTCCCTCAAGCCTCAAGGAATTAATATGACAAATTGCTTCACCCTCCTGGCACCTGAAGCTAGGTGAGCCTTTCGCTTTTCTCTTAGGGCTGCCTGCTCATGGCTAACTAACTGCCTACCACAGAAGCTCCTTTAAAAACACATGCAGGATATAAAACACATGTTATTAAAATGTCTATTCATGTCAAGTAATCTGAATGTATGATACAACACACACACACCTGCACACACACACACACACACACACATACATGCCTGGACATGTTCTATTTCATTAGCTCAATAATATAAGTGTGGGGTCTGTGACTAAGCATAACATTTCTTATTTCCTCAATTTTTTAAATTTATTTCTCTCCTGAATAAAGCTTCTTTCTTACTATAATATATATCCTCAAATACTGCTCACTTTCTTTTCCAAGGTGACATTCCAACAATACCTGTTTTATGAAAACATGTTATAAAATTCCAGAATAGATTTAGAAAACTTACTACTGTATTTTGCTGGCAAAGACTATGTGCTATATTTTAGGATTTTTTTTTATTCTTAAAGCACTTAATAGCTAAACCAATTTGCTAATAGTAGTCACAAAATATACTCAATATAGAAACCCACATTTATGTCTTTAAGAAAAATTGTAACTTGCATTTTACCTCAAACCATAAACTAACCCACTGGGGAACCAGCAGTTGGCATAATGGTTATGTCGCTGGACTCCCACGTAGTCGACCACAGTTCGCGTCCCGGACCCAGTGGCTTAAAACTCACACTGGGCACGTGTGTGTGCATGCCCAAGATCCCGAGAGGAGAATGGAGGAGAAGGGATTGTGGTGTGACCATCCCCCCTGGGGGGTGATTTCTCGCTTTCTGTCTCTCTGTCTCTCTCTATCTGTCTGGCAAGTGCACACACCCTATATCAAAAACCTCCAAAAAAATAAATTAATTAATTAACCCACTTAAAGAATCTGCAGCAGTCAAAATAATGGTGAATTTTAAACAACTTCAGAATAAAATAATAAGTACTTCATACTCCTTAATAGCTAAAAAATGCTTCAACTCATAAAAATAGTCCGAGGCAACTATTTTTTCTTTTATTCTTTAACAGATATGTTAAACATTATGAGCCGCATTCTTAAAACCTTAAGCTTCAGGGACCTTCAGACATTCAAATACTATGGTCCCCTTTTCTTTGATGTAGTTAATTCTGCTCGTAATAAAAGCATGGTAGACAACTTACTACATTTTCACCAAATTGAAAGTAGTACCAAAAACTTAAGACTACAGAACTACACATCGTACCTAATATATCATTAAAAATAGAAGACAGTATTTTCCTCAGCCAATAAAACAGCACATGGTATGCTGTTAGTACACACCTTTTAATGTGTACTGTCATCCATAAATTATTTACAACTTCGACCATGTGAAGAGAACTAGAATGTAAATTTTCTGCAAACTGGAAAAAAAGCAAATACAAAATTTGTGAAAGCCTGTTTTATATTGTGCAAAAGTGAGCCAGTTTTTTCTCTTCCAGATAATATATGCAGTGGTATTTTGGATATATTATAGTAATTCTTGAGATTACAGTATGATCATACCCCACTTGGGTTTTTATCTCACTTTCTCCTTCTGGCAAATGCACACCTCTTACAAATTATGAATAAATAAATAAGAAAGAAATGACTGATAGGCCTGGTTGTGATGGCACAGATGATAGGGCACTGATCCATGATTCTGGAGTCACTCAGAA